GAATCGTCCACCCAGCCCGTCTCGCTGCCCTCGGCTCCCACCCATCTCCCTCCCTTTGCTCCCTGGGTGCCTATGCAAAAGCCCTCCCAGGTCCTGCCCCCGGAGCAGCGACGCAGGGGAAGTCCTGCTCTGCCCCCGAAGCCGCAGGCTGGAGCGCGACCCGTTGCGCTGCAGGGCTGGCTCCTGCGCGGTGCGAGGGACCACAGCTCGCTCCATGCAGATGGCAGCGCCCGACGCCACCGAGTCCCCGTGCAGCACGTGCGCAAGGCGAGCAGCAGAGGCTCGTAAGGGGACCAGGAGGGCAGACTTTCACGGCGCTGAATGAAATAAGCTCTCGCAGCAAAGGGACATGCCTCTGCCACCATAACTGTACCGGTTGGACACTGCTACACTCACGCTCTCAAACCTTTTAAATACCAACCTGTCCTCAGTGCTACACAGATAAACCGACACCACTACAAACACGCAGAAGGGAGCAGGAGCAGCCCCGAGCACCATCCTTTCGTGTGCTGCTACTGAGCACAAGCACGACGAGCCTGCTATTTGCTCCCCGGGTCTGACAGAGGCTGTATGCAGCTGCAGATAGCCTAACCAATCCCTGGACGTCACTCCTGTCACAAAAATGCTGCTGCAGGAGGATGGAGATCAGTTATCAGCAACTCGTGTCCAGCGCGGGGAGGTCAGAGCTGACAGCTAAATCCATACCGCGATGCACAAGCTGATACTGGCACGTCCGGATAGCTGCATGCTCCAAACCGCACCAGTTTGAGAGCTGCGGAGCTGCTGAGAAATCAGACAGACCGCATCATTTATCCTGGGGGAGCGGGACGTTTATTTTGCATCTATGAAAGTTTAATTGAGCAGGCCATCCACACAACGGCTCCCCGGATCAGGGCATTCAGGTGCACCCCTGAAAGGCAAGGGGTAACCCGGAGTGCAGCGGCTTCTGTCTCCAAGTCGCAAACCTGCTACACCGAAGCCGGGATCTCGGAGGGAACAGCTGTAAACAGTGATAAGGGGGCTCGATGCCTGGCAAAGGGAGTGATAAGAGGAGCTGAGATATGAAGAGCAACTCTCCAAAGCCAAAGTTGGAGAGATGAATGATGGGGGCTGGCTTGTGAGCCAAGGGATGGCTGGACATGCACATGCCTGTTGTCTGCTTCCCTCTTTTCAGACGTGCTTTCCTTTAGGATGCTTCGCTCCAGACAGATGATACTGGATAATACCGAGAGCTCCTGGGGGGAGGAGAACTGCAGGGTCAGAGCCCACATTAGACCCGCTGGGATAGTCGCAGCGAGTGCCGGAGGATGGCAGCTCACAGCTCAGTGGGGAACTCATGCGCTTGCAAAGCCAGAAAGACGGCTCCAGGCTGGAGATCTGTGGCACCGGTGAGGTCCACGGTGCCGACAGCCTGGGGCAGAGAGAGGCCAGTGGGCCACAGCTCACCTGTGCATGATCTCCAGGTGAGCAGCTGCACGCCTGCAGCGGCTCAGAGACGATGCGTTCGTTAGCCCTGGCCCAGGCTGGGTTCGTGCAGTGCACGTCTGAGGCCAGATTCCCAAGGAAGGATTTCCTCCCAGGGCAAGGGGTCGCCAGGGGTGTGTGGGCACGTGCTGGGCTGGTGCTGCGGAGGCACGCGGGTGTGTTCCTGTGTCCCCCCAGGGCCGGGTGCATTGCACATACAGCCACTCAATTCGTGCACGGCAGTGAAGGCTCAGAGAGGTTGATCACAGAATCACAGAAAATGTGTGTGGGAAGAGACCTTGGGAGGTCACATCCATCCAACCCCCGCTCAGAGCAGGACCAGCCCCAACTGCATCATCCCAGCCCAGGCTTTGTCTACCTGGGCCTTAAACACCTCCGAGGATGGAGACTGCACCACCGCTCTGGGGAGCCTGTCCCAGTGCTTCACCCCCACGGTGAGAAAGTTTTCCCTCATATCCAACCTCAGCTTCCCTTTTTTACGGTCTCTTAAGGCTGTGCTGGAGCTGGGCTGCTCAGCAGGACTGGCCAGAAACCACGGTAGGAACTCATGACGGGCGGCCGCGCTCCCTCGGTCGCTACAAGAGGCGAGTCTTGCAGCAGCTGCAGTTGTGCCCTCCGCGCCCTAGTCACGTACCGCCTGGTTTTATCAGTCGAGATGTCTATTTTGAATCCTCTCCTTGCCAAGTCCAGGCGCCCGCAGCTCGCCGCGCTTCCTCCCAGTGAGTTCGAACTGTTATTCTGCAGTGGTTCAGCTACTGGCGGTCAGGTTTGGAATCAGCACTATTGCTCGCTTTCATCAGGTCACTCCACAGTCAGCGATGCCCGCTCCTCCTAAGGGCCTTGTCGGTGCCCGCACTCACCTGTAACTCAGCGCAGCCAGGCCTCGGGACGTCCAAGCCCACGAGGGGTCACAGCAAGGCTGCGTGGCTTCCAGCCTGGGAGAGTCGAGCTTTTCCAGGCTTCTCTCTGCAACCCCAGGGCTGGAAACTGAGGCTTTTGCAAGCTGGAAGCTGACTCCCACGTCCACACACGACTCCTGGAGATGAGGCTGGGGTCGAGACCACCGGCAGCACACGTGTGGCCGTAAGCACACAACTAGTCTTAGACAGAACAAACTTGGTTTCATGGAAGGCCCTGGTTTCCTTAAGGCAGGGCAGAGATGCACCTTTACAGACTAACTACGAACGGTTACATATGGAGAGAAAGAGAGCGCAAGGTTTTGCGAACCCAAGTTCACTCCATCAGCTGCAATGAGAGGAGGTGCAGGAAGCAGAGCGCAAGGAGAGAGCAATGGGCTGTGGCACTGCCAGGAGAGAAAAGCAAAGGTGCAGTACACCCCTAAGAGCTAAAAGGGCCACAAAAGCAAGTCCAGGTAACGAGATACGAACCCACAGTCCCCGTTTAAAACATACTTAACGCAGCCCAGTCGGGGGATGATTTCTTCTTCTAAATGGGTCTTTAGCTAGGGATTGTTTCTTCACCTGTCAGCAGCTACTTAATAGAGCCATGTGCTTTGAGACCACAAAAGAGCCATTCGATTTCCCCTCTTGACCCCTGCCAAACACAGACCAAAGCGCTTCCCGCTGACCCTTGCGCCGAGCCCCTCGACTTGCGTCCGGCGAACGCGTCTTCCAGACACTCCTACCGACCTGAGGGAGCGGCTGCTTCCCAGGGCGACCCTGCCGCTGATAGCCAGCACGCATGAAACTCCTGCCCCATCTCTCTGCTCAGACCCGAGGCCGCTCTCCGGCCCTTTGTGCTCTCCCTAAGCTGGCTGCTGCCGGCGATGGTAACACACTCCTCGTGCAAAGCCCCCCCCGTTTCAGGGCACTTGGACACGTTACGAGTGACTCCGGTAACGCTGGATTGTCTCACCAGGGTGCATCTCCAGCTCCCTTGCTAGCACCAGTTGCAAGCGCCCGAATTGCTCCTTTGCAGAGTCTTTGCCATCACAGCCCCTGGAGCCTGAGCTCCTGCTGCGCCTGCTCCCTGATGCCAACTTCTATTGCATGCGCTCTGTCCATGGCCACGCGGGCACCTGGGGACTCCCCCGCAGCGATATCACCTTTCCTGCCTTTCTCTGGAGCCCAGAGTCAGCGGGGGCTGCGAGCCGCTGCTTTCCTGGCCTGTGCCAGGCTGACGCCGGGACCCCCAGCTGCCGGCCAGTGCCTCCACAGCCATAGCCTGTCCCTTCTCCCCCGCCTGGGCCCTGGGGTGGGAGCCTGGCCCTCCCCGGGGGCACCAGGGTTTCAGCAAAGCACACAAAGCCTTTCACACCTTCCTCAGCACCTTCCTGGCAGGGCTGGAATCTGGGGTCATTAAAGCAGCAGTAAATGGCTGACACATGTGCTGAGTTCCCTGTAGCAATTACACGCCCAGAGCACAGGGCTGTAAAACCTCCAGGTTTAACAAAGGAGCTCCGATTTCCACAGTAGCTGAACAGACCCCGCAGCCCTGCAAGCCCTGCGGCCTCCCCAGGTGCCTGTCCTCATGGTCACTGCTGGCCGGGCCGGCCCCATGGGGACGGTCCCTCTGCCGGGCTCCTGGCCCCTGACCCCACACCCTTGGCTCAGGCGTGCTCCAGCTGCTCGCCTTGCAATGACGCACACAGCTCCCCGAGCCGGGCAGCGAGATCAGGAGCCAGGGGTGGGTGGTGGAGTGGGGAATTGCCACCATTAATGACCCCAGGTGGCTCCGGAGCACCTGATCCTAGAGCCAGGTCAAGGTCGCCGTCTCCTGGAGTGCTGGCTGGCGGGCCCCGGCATGGCTGAAGCAGAGGCGATGCCCACGTTCACCCGTGGTCACGGAGGCCAGCCGGCTGTGATGGATCCGGCGGGTCTCTGTCCTCACGGGCTTCCCTCGTGTTCCTGCTCTTCTTGCCTTGACTGTGGACTGCAGCCACGTGCGACTCCACTGCCAGCTCCTGCTCTGCAGCTAGGATCGCTGCAAATTCCCAAGCAAACAGCTCCGCGCAGTCCTGGGATTCCCGTCCCCCCGCGCAGTAGGTAGCTACCATGGTCGGCTCTCCAACCGCTCAGCTGCATGAATGGGCTAATTAACACCTCATCAAACCCGCCTGCAGAAATTCCCCCTTGCACCTGCGCGCTCACACGTCTGCATCCAGGCAGCCTCCCCGCAGCCCGTCCCCGCCAGGCTTCCCCACTCGGAGGGGGAGCTGGGGACGAACTTGCCAGGGTAACACTGAGGCCTCGCGGGGCCTTTGCAGGTCTTGTCGCCTCTGCCTCCACTTCCTTGCCTGCAGCACAAGGCGGCTGCGGCGGCGAGGAGCCGTCCGGCAGCGCAGGGCGTGCGGTGCAAGCGGTGGCCTGGCTGCACGGCTGCCCTGTCTCCAGCAGCACACAGCTCCCGGGCGCTGCCACCAGGCGCTTTCCAGGTTACGGGCACAAGCTGCTGCCCCCAGGTTCACTGCTCTACCATGTCCTGGGCAGAGGAAGGCACGAGCCCATCAGCTTCCTGCCCCATCGGTCACCAAGCAGCTCTCCCTCACCCAGCTGGACAGCCCCCTGTCCACTGCTGACCCCCTCCTCGCGGCTCCCAGCCGGCCAGCATCCCAGTCGGAGGGGGAAAGCACCCCCACGCTGGTGCCTCTGTCCTGGGCCTGGCTCCGAGGCAGCGCAGCTCCTCCTGCAACATAGAGCAGCCTCAAGACGACTTTTCATTGCACCTGGCTGCCTCGGCCCCCTCCCGTCTCAGAGGGACCCCCCCCGGGGCCGGCTCAGGCGGCTTTACGGCCCCTTGGAGCTGCTGCGGCAGGGCTGAGAACCTGGCCCTCGCTCTCCGCCGGGCCCGCCGGGGGCCGCGTTAGTGTGCTGCTTACTGTCTCTGCCAGATCATTCGCACAGATGTTAGCAAGCACGAGCCCCAGCGCCGCTCCCAGCAGAGCCCGCTCCCGCCCCGGTTAGCGCTCCGCAGGGACCCCGCGCTGCTGCACAGCAATCCTGCGCGGGCCGGCTCCGCGCCTCTCGCCCACACCCCACGTCGCCTGTTCGCATCTGCCACGGCCACGGCCACGGCTCCCTGCACGGGCTATTGCAGCTCTCTCCTCTCTGACCGCTCCTGACTCCAGATTCAGGGGCAAGAAGGGATTTTCCCTCTGGTCAGACTGGTCCGGACTGGGGGAGTTTACCTTCCTCCGCAGCGGGGGCACGGCTCTGCCTGGGCTCTCTGCAGCATCTCCCCTGCTTGCCCTGGGGCAGGTCCAGGTGTGACGTCCTGTGTTGTGTCAGAGCCCAGCGGTGCCATTAGCAGGGATCGAACAGCTGTGTGACAGATGAGCCCACAGCTGGGGATGTGGGGGCATGCCCTGAGCCCTGACCCCTGCTTCAGAAGTGGGAATTTCCCTCAATTGAGCGAGATCGTTAAGTGCAACGACTGTGATAACGACCGTGCAGAAGACCATCCTCGGCTCTGTCCACGCAGCCTGTCCTATGGACGCAGCCGGGAAGCTCTTGAACAGCAAAGCCCTAAAGTCCATCACAGCACCACAGACGCTGCCCGCACCCCTATGCCCCCACGCCGACCGAACTGCCCGAGGGAGCCCAGTCCCCCAACAAGAAACAGGAAGCGGCTTCTCGGAGCCACGTGCCTCTGCCTTCCCCTCGGCAGTGAGACGCACGCGCTCCCCCTCACCTGTCCTAGCCACGACCACGGTCGTCTCGCTGGGGTCTGGGATGGGGCACCGGTGCCAGGCCCCATGCAAACACACCGGGAGACGGGCCCCTGTCTGGAGCGCTCGCTGTCCCAGGGGAAGGTGCAGGCAGCAACATGAACACAAAGCCCACAGGGCACAGCTGGACACATCTGCAACCAGCAGCGAGGGGCTGCCGGGGCCCTTAGGAGCGGTAGCCATTGTGGGCACCGCGGGCCAGGCTCTCCCAGCCAGAGACTCCCTGGTTCCCCACAGGGGTCTGTTTGGCCTCCATCAGCCTCGGCCAGGAGAGACTCCCCGTCCCCGGATGTCGCCAGGCCCACGCGGCACCACTTACCCTTCCAGGAGAGCGATGACGTTCTTCCTGGGCCTCCCGATGTTGGGTCCGTAGAGGCTGGCTCTGGAGTAGGTGCGGATCAGCTGCAGCAGGCTCCTCAGCTGGACGTAGTCCTTCCCCAGCTGGCTCCCGTTCACCGAACGCCCCATCAGAGTCCGGTAGTTGTTGGGCTCTGGGAAAACACACGCGCGCATGATGCTTGCCACTCAGATCCTCTCATAGAGGGCTTTTCCCATCACAGACTCCCTGTGTCCCCTGCCCCTGGGTCTTGTGCTTGGCCCTTTTCCCTCGCAGCCGGAGGGCAGCTGGTCGGCATGCCCTGGGTGCCCGGTGCCAGCAGACGGGGCGTTTGACTGGGATGCCACCACGTGTGTTCAGAGCCCCTCTCCGGCTCGAGGGGGCTCTCCCACCGGGGAGGTCCATCCCGGCGGACCTGGCTCGGGGCACTCACCGTTGCCCAGCTCCCAGGAGATGTTGTACTTCTTGCCGGCGCTGTACTTGAGCAGGCTGAGCGCGTTGGAGCTGTTCCAGGAGTTGTTGGGGTTGCGGCGCAGGGCGTTCAGTGCAAAGATCAGGTGAAGGCCAGAGCAGTCCGCAAAGTTATAGAGTTTGTCTAGAGACCTGGCTGGGAAGAAACAAAACCCAGGTTGTAACTCGGAGGACAGGTGTCCCTGCCCCTCTGTGGGGAGCCGGCTGCCCCCCTACTCCTGCCCTCAGGCTCTGCCCTCCACAGGGGCAATACACGCTGTCCTGCGGCACCTGCAACCAGTGTGCCCTTGGTGCCAGGAAGGCGACCGGCATCCCGGGCTGCATGGGTAGAAGCGGTGCCAGCAGATCGAGGGTATTTATCCTTCCCCTCTATTCAGCACCGGGGAGGCCACATCTGGAGTCCTGTGTCCAGCTGTGGGCCCCACGACAGAAAGGATGTGGACACGTTGGAGAGAGTCCAGCGGAGGGCAAGGAAATGGTTGTGGGCTGGGGCACAGGACTGGTGAGGAGAGGCTGGGGGACCTGGGCTGATTGAGTCAGGAGAAGAGAAGACCGAGGGGGATTGAATAGCAGCCTTCACCTCCCTGCAGGGGGGCTGCAAAGAGGATGGAGCTGGGCTGGTCTCAGACGACAGGACAAGGAGCAATGGGCTCACGTTGCAGCAAGGGAAGTTGAGGTTGGATATTGGGAAAAACTCTCACCAGGAGGGCAGTAAAGCACTGGGACAGGCTCCCCAGAGGTGGGGGAGTCTCCATCCTTGGAGGTGTTTAAGACCTGGCTAGACAAAGCCCTGGCTGGGATGATGTAGCTGAGACTGGTCCTGCTTGGAGCAGGGGGCTGGACCAGATGTGACCCCCTGAGGTCCCTTTCAACCCCAATTTTCTATGACTCCATGGAAATGGCATTACCTCCAAGGCTGTGCTAGATTCCTCACCACGGGCTGGAGCTGGACGTCTCTCCCAGCACACTGGAGAAAGGGGCGGCGCAGCCTGCCCGTGCCCTCTCCTCCATGATGCAGCCCCCACGCCTGCCACAGCTCTTTGCCAGACACGGGGAGCAGAGGGCAGGCCTCTGGGGCTCCGCGCACGTCCGGATGGTGAGGGCCATGCTGGGATGTCCTTTGCGGTGCTCACCACTCCAGCCTGCCCCCGGCACCAACGGCTCCCCCAGCCCGGGACGGCACAGAGCCCATTGCCAGGGGCAGACCCGAGCCGGAGCCTGCTGCTTGCACTACTGCAGCCCCTGCCGCCTCCCTGCCCACAGCGCCCTGCGCGTCCACCCTCCAGGACCTGGGCTGGCTTCTTCCCTGGACCCTGGCAGGGCTGGCATGGCACAGCCGTCTCTGTCCTCCCTGCCAGCACCGCACAGGAACGTCTCTTTGGGGCTCCCAGGCACTGGGGCCCAGGGCCCAGCACTGGGGCAATGCTCTCCTGCCCCGTGGAGCTGCAGCCGATGCAGGGGGAGAGCGGTGCAGTGCGGAGCCTGGTCCCGCACACCGGGGCTGGCGGAGTCTGGCTCTCCAAGCTGGACCGCGGCAGAGGGATGCGCGCATGCCCTGCACTGGGGCGCGGGGCCCAGGGCTGCAGGGCATCGCTCTGGCCTAAGTGGAAGCAGGCGCAGCTTCCCCGCAGCAGCGTCTGGAGCTGGTCAGAGCACAAAGGTGGGGTCTGGCATGGGGTCTTTCCCCGCGGGCAGCTGGGCCAGCCGCGCAGCCAGTCCCTGGAGCCCTCCCACAGCCCAGCAGAGCCTGGAAGACCCCTGCCCGCCTGCCTGTGCTGCGCCCCCGGCCCGGCCCGGCCCTTCTCAGAGCATCCTGGGGCTGGCAGGGACCGGCAAGGGGCGCAGCCCTGTGCAAACCGGCCCAGACAAACCCCGTGTCTGAGCTCCGAGCAGCACGACACAGTCACCCCTGACAGCCCCCGGCATCGCCCCTGCCCCTGGGATACAGGGGGGCCGCCGCCGCCAATGTCCCGCTGCTGTCGGGGGGCTCAGATATGCTGCAAAGATCCCGATTCTCAATCTTGCGGGTGCACCTGGTCTTCCCTGTCCCCACACAAAGCGAAGTGACCCAGCTCTGATCATCTCGCCTCTGGACGAGCGCACCGTCCACCCCTGGGCCTGGGCAACTGCGTCTCCTCTGCTGCACCAGACAACCGCCCCGCTGCCAGCTCTGCTCACCCTCCTGGCCTCCCCTGCCCACTTTCCAACAAGGGCCTCCCCTGCTGCCCCTCATGGGGGGGCGACAGCTACAAAGTCACTGCCGCCTTTAAACCCCCTCTGCCCGACGCCGACGAAATGTGCCCGCGGCCGCGCGCGCTGCCCTTCACGCCAGCCCTTCGCTGGGCTTGCGTCAGCCTCCACCTCTTGCCTCTGCCTTGTGCTTTGACGGCAGGTTTTGGGGCCACGAGCTGGTTTGAGCCTACGTTCATGCCACGCTTGGCTTGGCAGGTCCGAGTCCGTGGCTGGGACCTGGTGACAACTCCTGCAATGTGGGCTATAAATTACAACAAGAAACGCAAAGCGCTACAACTCTTGGTTCAGAAATGATACCTGTTATTAGACCAACTAAGACATTGCAAAAAATGAGCTTTTTCTGCAAGCTTTCAGGCAGAAAAAGAGATATATTTTTGCGGTTTCTTAGTTGGTCTAATAAACCAAGGGTGCTAGAGTTTTGCATTTCTTTTGTCTCCGACCAACACGGCTACCAAATACACTCCCAAATAAATGATAACAAGACATTTGTCACGGCCAAGACTGCCACGAGGGACGCTCAGCCTCCTTCCTGTGCCACCAAGGCCAACCTGCTCCAGAGAAGAGCTCTGCGGGGTTTGATGGCCCTGGTTTTCTATAATGGATACTTAGTGGAGCACATTAACCTCTGGGTCAGGTCCTTTGAATGGCTCTTCTGGTAACATAAAGGAGATGTGACTGCAGAATTTGCTGCCCAGGATGGAAAGTTATGAGAGGTTCCAGTTTAATTAAAGTAGAATGATTTTTCCTGTGCCAAAACTGCAGCTTTGCATCTTGTATAACACAGGCGTCGAACACACGGGCCAGACTCTGCAGCCCCGTCGCTGATCGATGGCGTTTTGCTGATGCCTTCTCCTCCAAGAACATCTTCCCAGTACCGAGGGGCAACACCGCCGGCGCCGTACGGGCACGCTCCCTGTGCTCACAGAGCCGGGCAACGTTGAGCCGGTGACCAGCCCCATCACCGGTACAAGAGAGAGCCCCACCTGCAACGATCAGAGCAGTGGTCCCTGTGTCTAGATCAGTGATTCTCCACCAGGGGCCCCGGCACCCTGGGGTGCTGCGAGACCCTTTTAGGGGTGCCACAGCATGCCATGCAATATTCGCACTGTCATGGTGCAAACCTGCACAGGAGGCACAAGACAAACCCAGAGATTTCAAATGGGAAGCAAAGCCATTCTGCCTGTTGTGGTCTGTGGAGTCGCTCTGGTATTTTTCCACACAAGAGCTGGCATTTTCCAAGCGGGGTCTGGAGCCCACCAAGGGGTAACCTGAGTTTAAAAAGGTCGAGAACCACAGGTCTAGATAGACATCCTGTTGTCGGCAGTGTCTGTGCGAGATGGCTCAGAGGCAGATGGAAAATGTCCGCAACCGAGCATTTGCCAAGAACCTGCCCATAGACGTTTCTTCCAAGCCCCAGATAGACGGAGTCTGGTTTCTGCTGCGAAGCACGCGGGTCTGCATGCCTCATACATGCTTATCCTGGCCGGCGAAAGGTCTTGGTGAGGTTTCCTGGTCGTATGACACAGAACTGCTAGAACGAGGGACCAAAGACTCTTTGGAGGGGACTGGGGTGAGCTAATTCAAGACACACCAGGCCGAGACACTTGCTCGTCTTACCTCGTCTAGTGGCAGCAGGGAAGTGGGGGACGCGTTCATGCCTGACACCTTGGGAAAACCCGCGGGCAGGCGCCCTGCGCTCGGTGGAAGCACTCGCGTGTATACGTCCTTCGAGAGGTGCAAGATCAAGCCCTTGATGACAAAAACAAGGCGTGCTCCCAGCCAAGGCGTGCATCAGGCTGCAACGGGATTGCCGCGGGGTCGGGGAGAGCGTGGCGATTTGAGGAATTCGCCCATGCACAACTCAGGAGGCTGGGCTGATTTTATGAAACTGCCACATCATGAACGGCCTCGGTGGCTCTTACGCCTCCCTTGTCACTGCAGGACCAGGCGCGGGAGAAGGGCGGCGGTGGAGGAGAGGGACGGAGGGACTCCACAGCCCAGGGAGAAGCCACGTGCTGGAGGAAGGGTCCCGACACCCGAGAGCCCCCGACGAACCAAAGGACAGTCGGGAACGCGGGGGAGATGAACGCCGGGAAGGTGCAAAGGCCACCGCTGTTTGCCTGCACCTCTCTGCACCTCGTGCTAGCTAAAGTGAAGAGTTGTTTTGCTGGAAACCTTTGCAAGGCCTGTGTGTCCCCGGAGCGGCCACGTGTAACCCTGCGTAGCCACAAGGCTGGGACTGCGGGACAGGATGTTCAAGCCCCTGGCGCGTCCCGGAGGACCCCGAGAGACGGGGGCAGGTGGATCATCCGGCTCCGCTTCCTCGAAAGCTGTTTGCTGTCCAGGGACGAGCGTGCGCAGGAGCCTGCCGCGCGGGCCCAACCTACGGGGACGCCGGCAGCCTGGCGAGGGCTGAGAAGGGGACGTGGACTAGGGCTTCAGGAAGGGGTTTCTGGCTCGTCTGTGCCTGACGAGGCCTGTTTGTGTCCAAAAGCTTGCAAAGAACCATTTTTCCAACTTTTTAGTAGGTCTAATAAAGGATATCACATCTACCCAAAGAACTCGCCTGCCTGCGTCCTCACACCGACACGGCTGCAACCAACAGCCCATGAGCCTTGTTTCCAGGCGTTTCTTCACTGCAGCGCTGCCGCTGCCACAGGGAGATCCTCCGTCCCCTTGGACCAGGGCACCGGCTCTCCCGGCCAGCCCCACGTCCAGCAGAGCCTGGCAGATGCCCCATCAATGATTTTCCAGCAGTCGTGACCTTGGTTCAAAGCCATGCATGCTCAGGGCTGCAGCTGGGCTTCGTCTGAAATGCTAGCGAGCGGGGGAGAGGGAGGCTGGGTTCTGCTTTCGTTCAGATAACTCGAACCAGCAATTTGT